CAGGATGGGGGTTTCACAGGGATCTGTGGCTGTGGTGATGTGGGCAGGAGGCAGTGGTTGGGGGCACCAAGCCTGCGAACCCTCCAGGAGACTATGCTTAGTCCTGAGGCTGTGGGAGTCATGGCCCAGCTTTTAGCAGGGAAGTTCCGGGGTCTCGCCAAGTCCCCTCAGGCCGCTGTGTGGGGCTTCATGGGAGGGCAGTGGCCTGCTGGGGGAAGACTGCAGGCTGGCAGATGGGGTGCGGGTGCATTTGCTAGGCCAAGCCCTAGCAGGAAGGGCAGCTGCACAGCGCCCTGGTCTCAGCTCCAGTCCGGCTGGACTCCTGGCTCCTGGCAGCCTTGGCAAAGGCTCTTGGCCAAGCAGCTCTGCCGGCAGTTCCAAGTCCTCCAGTGCGGCCAGATGCTGTGGCTCAGCCCTGCTGCCCCAGCGGGAGTGGGCGGGGCAGGAGGGGAGGTGTCATCTTGCCTGAGTGGTCCCAGATGCTGAACTCCAACGCATGTGCAGCCCCAGGAAGCTGCTAAGAGGATTACAAGTCAAAAGTCAACCCAAGTTCTTCAATAAATACAACCGGGAGATGCCGTCAGAACCTGCTTGGGGTTGCACAATAAAAGCCGATGATTAAATGCCACCTTGTAAACTGCCCCAGGGCTCTACATTCTGAGCGCAAGGCTGGCTCCAAGGCCTGTTTGTCTGCAGCCAGAGGAGAGCTGCATGGCCTCAGAGCGCTGGTTATGCGCAAAAGGCAACCCTTCCCCACACAGGCCCTCAGAAACGCATTTATCCCCGCTTTTACCACGAGGACGGACATTTATCCGCTCTGTGCAACTGAGCTGCCTTAACGTGGACCTGAGAAGATGCAAGGGTTCCCCTGAGAAGTGGTGATCCTCCGTCACTGAAGGTACGCAAGAAGGACCCCGAAGGTTATAGGAGATTCACACATCACATGGGCCCTTGTCTCATTTCATGTCTACAGAGGCCACACATCGGCCCAGGCCCCTGCCCTGCGACGCTCTGAGCCTGGAGGAGATGGAGATCACGCAGAGAAGCTGACCGACAGTCACAGCTGTGTGCAGGGCCCACTGGAGACCCTGGGTGTGCTCACCAGGCAATGAAGGACGACTGGGCACAGTGGCCAGGGCAGGCGGCTTAGGGGCGGTGAGACATCCAGGAGAACCCACCACACGAAGGCGAGGGAAGGAAACTCCGGGTAGTGGGCACTGTGCGTGCAAAGGCCCCGAGGTGGGAAAAAGACCAGTGAGGCTGGAGCACAGGGGATCAGGAGACAGTGGGAGACAGCACCGAGGGTGGTGTGGGCCAGGTGGCAGGCGCAAGGCCCTGTGAGTCAAGGTAAGTGTTGGAGTGCCTTGCAGGGAAGCCTGCAGGTGACGGGCAGGACAGATTGACCAAGGTGATCCTGGCTGCTGTGTGAGAAGTGATGGAAGGGAGGATGGTGGGGGGAAGTCAGAGCGCCCCAGGAGACATTTTGTGGGTGAGCTGAGAGGACTCCTGGGGCACAGGGGAATGAGGGGTAGAGGGGAGTGAGGGGCGGAGGGGAGTGAGGGGCGGAGGGGAGTGAGGGGCAGAGGGGAGTGAGGGGCGGAGGGGAATGAGGAGCAGAGGGGAATGAGGGGTGGAGGGATGGAGGGGGTCGAGGCTCCCCACTGAACATCCTGGTGCTCCTCTCAGTGGGGCTGGGAGAGTGGAGACCAAGGCTGCTCCACAGGCATCTCCACACAACTCTAGCTCAGGAGACACCTGAGGGCTGGAGATAGCGCCCAAAGGCCCAGCACCTGGGGAGGACTTAATGGCAGCTGAGCTCACAGGGAGGGGCGCGGTGAGAAGGGACCAAGGAGACCCTCCTGCCTACAGAGGGTGAGAGCAGGTGGAGGAGCTGACACGGGGAGGGGAGAGGAGAGCACAAGCAACCTTATCCCACAGGAGGCTGCCCTCACCAGGCAAGACTTCCTCCCAGAAATGCCCGGCAGCGCCTGGCACACCACTAAGTGTGGCCGGCACCCAGCAACTTCTGGCCAGGAGGGCGGAAGCCTGGCTACGCTGCTGGAACACTCCGTGGAGGCTGAGCGTGATGGAGCCGGGGGCCCAGGCCTGACCCGACTCCCAGTCTCGGGGCCCTGCCACCCCTGCAGAGGAAAAGCCCCACAGAGCATAGCCTTCAAAGCCAGCTAGACCCAGACCAGGCCCAGCTGGGTCACTTCCTGACCATGTGACCTCAGAGCAGTCCCTCAGCCTCCTTGGCCTCCGGCAACACATCTGCGCTGCCTGGGAAAGGACCAGGCTTGCCGTGGGAAATGCGGCAGGACTGGGGAGAGGCCGGGCACCTAAGGCTCCACAGGGAGTGGACTCTGCGTGTCACCCTGCCGAAAGCTGGGCGTCCAAGGTCCCCGTGCACCGGGCTACAAAGGCAGGGCTGCACACTGTCCACAGTGTGAGCGGCGCCCTGAAGATGGCCAGCAGCCTCCCGCCTGCACGCTCTGCCTCCCCTCCCCATTGGGCCCCAGCTCCCCACCACCTCCCTGGCTCCATGGGCTCTGGTGGTGACAGAGCTCTCAGGTCCTGTGCAGGTCTCTGCCTTGCCCATGCCCTCCCGTCCTCCCCATCCTTCCCTGCGCAGCTCCCACTCCTCCTCCCCAGCTTGGCACAGAAGCGCCTCCTCTGGAGAACCTCTCCTCACCTTGCCGGGTGAGACAGATTCGGGCTGGTCACCACAGTGATAACAACATGTGAAATAGCGCGGTCTGGGGTCGCCCATCAGGCAAGGGGCGTGTGCCTTTGTGCCTGGCAGCAGCTCTCCTGCAGGTGCTGCTGTCACCCCCGCTTCTCATCTGAGGAAACTCAGGGTGAGTAAGTGGTCTAAGGTCACCTCATCGGGAAGAGGCGCGCTGGGACCACAGATCCCGGAGCACTGAGGCCTCAGCCCGTGACCCCAAGCTCGTGGCCGTCTCCTGGCCTTCTGAGCTCCCCATGCACCTGTCTGTGGGGATCAGACTATTTTCCTCCTCGCACCCTCCCTCTGTCCCCTTGATGGTCTGTGAGGCTTGAGGGCACCAACAGGGTCTGCTACATGGCTGTGCCCTGTCACCAGCCTGGGGCCAGCCAGGCACACGGAGAAGGTGCCTCACGACATGGACTCCAGGACTCAGTGAGTGTCTCGGAACATCCAGGCTGCCTCCAGCTCCCTGCCAGCCCTGAGCCCTGCAGCCCTATTCTCATAGTGCCTTCCACGGTGGGGAGCAGGGTGGGGAGGCGGCCCCCATCCACACAGCTGGGCTGCAATGGGCAGACCCAGGAAAGGCACCCCGGCACCAAGCCCCAATGTGATGAGCCACCGTGACGGTGCAGCAGGTGTTGAGTCAGTGACGTCTCTGAGACCCCGCAGCCCCACACTCGCACCCCTCAGCTTCCTGGGCAGTCTCAACACAAGCCAGACCTCATCACCCTCACCCCCATGATGGTTTGAACGTGTTCCCTCCAAAACAGAGGTGTTGCCCATGTGATGGTATGAAAAGGTGGGGAGTTAGGAGGTGATGAGGTCACGAGGGTTCCTCCTTTCCAGCATGGGCCGAAGCTCCGTATAAAAGAGGCTACAGGCAGCATCGCGCTTTGTCCCTGCCTGCACTTCTGCTGTGTGAAGACGCGGCTTCCTCCCTTCTGCAGAGTGCAGCCCTCACCAGACAACCGAGCCTGCTGGCACCTTGGTCCTGAACGTCCCAGCCTCCAGAGCTGTGAGAAATACACCTCTGTCCTGTATAAACTGTCCAGTCTCAGGTGTGTTGTACCAGCACAAGACGGACCAGGACTCCCTGCCAAACCCTGCGGTGACTCTTCCACATAATCCTAGCTAATCCCGAGTGATGCTTCCCACACGGGGCTCCCAGGAACCCCAGTGTGCTGGGAGGAGGACATGTGTGTTCTGCCAGAAAAGAAGAGCTCTCTGTGGAAATTCTCTGGGGAACTCCTGGGTTTTATCAATTGAGAACACTGCAGGTTTTCTCAGAACCTCTGATAGATTGAGCCTGTAAGTCTCCACTACAGGAATAGAGCGCTCAGTTTCCCAACCTTTTTAGACCATCAAAACGCTTGGAATTGTATTCAGAGGACCGCAGAAAAATTAGGAAGCCCTCTGCAGGCTTCCCAGGTGCCCTGGCAGGTGGTGCTCCCCATGGTGCTCCTGAGGCTCCAGGGAGCCTGTTCTGGCGGCTACTGCATCTCTCCCTGCCACCTGCAAGCTGATGGCACGCAGGGCCCTGATTCCTAACCATGAACCTGGGGCCCAGTGCTGGTCTTCAGTGAGCCCCTGTCTGGCCACAGCAGAGCCTGCCTTCCTAAGAAGCACCCCAAACAGGGAAAAAGGTACAGCAGGTTTTCCAGCATTTTCCTCCACGCACAGAGTCAACCTGCACAGTGAGATGCAACTCAGAGCCGACTGCCTCAGGGGAGGCTGTTCTAGGGTCTGACCCCGACATTCTCTCCCCCAGGCAGCCTCTTCCTGGGGCGCCCTAAGCAGTTCAGGGACCTGCAGCCCGACCCTTCCCACACAGTCCTGTGGAGACATGCGCTCCACCACAGTCGCAAGGAAAGAAGGCATCACCCAAGAGGGCACCAGGCTGGAGATTTAGGGCAGAAAAGAGTGTCCTTCATCCAATACCCAGACAGAGCAGGGGTCCGAGGACCAGGGGAATGGGCACGAGACATCAGTTCTGAAGAGACCAGAGCTGGAGACAGTCCTAGATGAGGCCCCTCGGGTGGCCAGGAGACCACCGGGTTTCCCTTTTGACTAATTCTGTGACCTTGGGGACAGCGGTTTACCTTTCTGGGCCTCAGTTTCTTCATCTGAAAGACCAGAGGGCTGGTGGGATGATTTCTGAAGGGCCACCCGGTGGTGCCCAGGGAAAGACGACCTCGAGCTCGGCCCTAAGTCCCGGCCTTAGTTTCCCCAAGAGAAAGAAGCTTCACTTCCTCCCCGGCCCCAGAGCGCTTACCCAGCGGGCAGGCGCCCTTCTGCAGCTGGCGCACGGGC